GTCGTAAGAGACGTCTTAGGTGCGTTAACGCACGGAGACAGAGAGAGAGTGAGAGAGAGAGAGAGAGTGAGAGAGAGAGAGTGAGAGAGAGAGAGAGAAAACACATATAAGATATCTATCTATCTATCTATCTATTTTATCTAACTATCTACTTTGCCTTTTAACAGAAAGAGCTATGGTATCTGTATTTGTCTAGCAAATTTTCATTGGTTTCACCGATGGCTTTCGCTCCGATCTTTCGATTTTCTTAACACGTTCTCTCTCTTTCTCTCTCTCTCTCTCTTTCTCTCTCTCTCTCAGTTATGTGTGCGATTGTACGTAAGTACGTACTTATATTAAATATCCTCATCTAATAATCTCTCTATCATATATCGATCCATCAATAGCTATCGTGTTTTTATAAGAAACGTACGGTAGCCGATACATACTCTATGCACTTTACGTACATAGAATTTCTTTAAGAGTTTAAGTTTTAATACTAACAGTTGTCTTGTGGCTCCAAAGGGAAACACAAAAGCCATCATAAAACTCCCATCGACTACTTACGTACGGATGGATGCATTATCATAAATTATCATACATTAGCCTATATTATATAGAATAGAACTCTACTCTTAATCCGATTAGATTCGGTATGTAGGAATAGAAAAAAAGAAAAGGAATAAAAAGAAAAAGAAAGAAGGGAAATAAAAAAAGGGGGAGGTAAATAAGCAAAGAAAAAAGAAGATAGGTACCAAAGGATAGAGAGAGAGATAGAGATAGATAGAGAGAGAAAGAGAAAGAGAGAGAGAGAAAGAGAGAGAGAGAGAGAGAGAGAGAGAGAGAGAGAGATTAGGAACGTTTAACGCAAATATGGGAAAAGAAATAAGAAGAAGAAGAAGAAGAGGAAGAAAAGATCCGCCCCAGTCGGACGTTTGCGTTTTTAAACGGACAACTTGTGAGTGGGGGGGATAGAGAAGCGAGGGAGAGAAGCGTGACTCGTGCGTAACACGCCGCTCGGATTAGGCCCCCACTTTTGAGCCTTTAGCATCGCTAACCAAGTGGGCTACGCCCAGCCACGCTTATTACTCATTCGGACACGCCACTTTATTCGAGCGTGCGTCGTGCTTCGCTCGAGCACAGTAGCAGTGCACCGTTACTTTTAGCTCTTCTCTGTCTGTCCGTCTGTCTGCCTGTCTGCCTGTCTGTCTGTATGTGTACGTGTGTGCGTGTGTGTGCGTGTGTCTTTGTGCGTGTGCCTATGTGCGTGCATGCACCACATGGACACAAATGTTATCGGGCCCCGGGGTCTATTATGTTCAACTCCAATTCTCTTTTCCTCTTGTTATTACCTTACGTCTTTCGATATTACAAAAAAGAAAAAGAAACAAAAAAACAAGAGAAAGAAGAAGAAGAAGAAGGAAAAAAGGATGAAAGATGAAAGAAAGAAAGAAAGAAAGAATGAAAGAAAACGACGAAGACTCGTTCATCGCCACGATGGAGTCATCCTACGCGAGATGAGTTTTCTAATAATAGAGAAGATCAACGCGTTGGATGATGATAATTTATGTCCACTCCATTTGTATACTTGTAAGAGAAAGAGAGAGAGAGAGAGAAAGAAAGGGATGGATAGATAGATAGAGAAAGAGAGGGAGAGAGAGAGAGAGAGAAAGAGAGCTTTCTTTTTCTCAAGGAATCGATCTTGAAGCGCGAAACAGAATACTTAACAGCCGACATTATTGCGAAGCTTTAAGCCTGCTTCCCTCCGACATATCCCGACTCGTAATTCATGCTCGCTCATAATTCTTCTTTACTTCTCGCAATAAGAACAAGGATTCGTTACAAGCACGAGCGAGCGAGCGAACGAGCAAGTACAAAATAATCGGTGATGCCGAGATCTAAACGTTAACCAAGTAAGTATATTTTCTCGAATTGTACGAGAAGAAAAGAGTAAAGAAGAGAAGAAAAGATAAGAGTAGAGTAGAGTAGAGTAGAGTAGAGTAGAGTAGAGTAGAGTAGAGTAGAGTAGAGATGGTTGGCTTTTACATAATACACTTGCGTAAGATAGTGGGAGGGAGATAAATACGGATGAAGAGAGAGAGGGAGGAATGGGAGAGGATATATAATCGATGCTTTAAAATAATACAATAGTGCGATAATAAGTCGCGATATAAAAACGTTCGACAATGACTATATGACGATAACGATGACGAAAAAAATAGGAGAAGAAGAAGAAGAAGATAAGAAAATGGTCTTTTCCGAATGTTACGCAAGATTATTTCGATACGATACGATCGTGCATTCATGCATGTGATTCAAGGAAATTTAGTAACTCTGAAGTCGTTATAGGAAAGATGTATCGATTGAAATTTCTTAACCTTTTACAATATAACGCGATATATAATGAGCAATATAATCCGTGTGTTCCTTTTGATTAGTACCTCATATAATATATATGTAATTATCTATGTAGGAGCGTTAATCAAATTAGATTTTTTTCTTTTCTTTTCTGTTTCTTTTTTTTTTTTATATATCACACTTTGTCGATCGATTAACGAAAGATGCAGGCGTTTATGATCGATCGTTTAAAATTTTGTTTAATTCAATTGATTTGAGTTTCTCGGAAAAAATGGCTTTTCTTTTTTGTTTTTTTTTTTGCTCTTTTTTTTTTTTGAAAAAGTTAAACACGAAGAAAAGAAGAAATCAAAAAAGAAAGAGAGAGAGAGAGAGAGAAAAAGAAAGATAAAAAAACACGTAGTCGAGGGCGGGTTATCTCGAGTCACGTTATCTTCTCGGGCCAATAAAGTACCTCGTATAACGTCGTCCAACGCAGTCTCGCAACCTTCGACATGGGTGGTAACGATCGAGAAGACGAGAAGGAGAAGAAGGAGGAGGAGAAGGAGGAGGAAGGGGAGGAGGGGAAGTGGAGGAGGAGAAGGAGAGTACGAAAAATTCATTGGCATAAAGTCATCGAACGTGATTTTGTTTTTCGTTTTCAGGTAGTAGCGTAGCTTGCTCATCGAAGACAACGAAGAGGAAGAAGAAGAAGAAGAAGAAGAAGAGGAAGAGGAGACCGAGGACGAGAACGACGAGGACGAGGACGACGAGGACGACGAGGGCGAAGACGACGACGACGACGACGAGGACAACGAATCCTTCGGGTCCGGGTATAAGCAGTGATCTCACTCGTGGTAATCGCACGCAGCCGGTCTCGAGAGGCTGCCTAGCTGTGCGGGAGGCAGAAAAGAAGAGAGAAAGAGAGATCTTGCAGAACTTGTAGAGAAGAGAGGGAGAGAGAGAGCAAGAGAGAGAAAGAGAGAGAGAGAAGGAAGGAAGGTATACGTCGTCGTCTCTTGTGGAGAAGTGGTGGAAGGACTCTCGAGGCGTTAGTCAGAGAGCGTGAGGAGGGAAAAGGAGACAGTGGGAGAGATCTTGGCTCGAGAGGGAGAGAGAACGAAAGAGAGAAAGAAAAAGAGAGAAAGAGAGAGAGTGAGCGAGCGAACGAACGAGCGAGTGAGAGAGAGAGAGAGAGAGAGAGAGAGAGAGAGAGAGAGAGAAAGAGTTAGCGAGGGAACGAGCGAGAAGGAGAGAGAAAGAGAGAGAGAGAGGGTCGAGACCAAGAGAAGGAGCGGTGGGAATTTATAAGGATGTTCGCGATAATGCCGATGGAGACAGAGGGGCACGGCAGGGAGTTCGGCCGGCGGCAGAAGATGCGCGCCAAGTGCACCGTAGAGTTCGTCTGCAAGTACTGCCAGCGGCGCTTCACCAAACCGTACAATCTAATGATTCACGAGCGTAGTCACAAGGACGATGTGACCTTCACCTGCGAGGTCTGCGGAAAGTCCTTCAAACGGCAGGATAATCTCAAGCAGCACAGGTACCATCAACGTCATTAAAATCACTTTTTTTTATTTTCTTTTTTTGTCTTTTTCTTCTATTCTTTCATTCTTTCTTTCTTACTTTTTTTTTAATTTTAAAGAAAAGTTCTAATTCTGTCTTTCTTTCTCTCTTTCTTTCTATCTCTTTATTTTTCTCTTTATTTTTCTCTTTATTTTTCTCTCCTCTCTATGTCGAAGAGTGTAAAAAAATTTGCGAAGAATATCGTCGGAATCGATATGACGATGGATCGGGTGTGGATCGAATGTGAATCGAACGTTCGTTCGAATAGTTTTTTATCTTCACTTTTCTTATCGGTTTCATTTTTGACAGACTGTGCCGTCGTTCCGTCCGTCCGTCCGTCCGTCTGTTCGGGTTAACGTGTAACAGTGCAACGATTTTGTGCGCGAATCATTAACGATCGTCCAAATTCGCTCAAGTTTGATGTTTCGCTCGTGAGGTAAAAATGTGTTCGCAGTTAACGAGAATTTCGTCGATCGTAGCAGCCGTCGGATTTTATCGTATCGGACTTTACTAGATGTCCGTCCAATACTACTTTTCCGTCGCGGTCCTACGAAATACACCAAGAAAGTTATAACTTTCTACGTGAGTTTGATCGTAAAGTAACGAGAGTGATCGATGAACTTTAGTGATAGTTATCGATAAGTGCGTTGTTAAATTTTGATTACCGAGTTAAATGACTCGATCGGATAGTTTCGCGTTCCGAGTATCGATCGTTCGATCGATTAGCAATCGACGGGAAGTCAACCAACCGCAAAGATTCCTTATCGTATCTCGTCAGTTGGTTTTAGAAAATTCAATAAATGATTATATTCGATCGGTGAGCCTGTTTGAAATATGACGAAACATATTCTGGATTACACTCGTAAAATCATTTCAAATCAATCGCGAAGGCAATAGTTAGAAGGAGCATAAGACAAACGTTGCGGGTGAGAAGGAGGTCGCTACCGAGGTAACCTTTTCGCACCATTGGCCTTGCAAAGTTGCACTGTGTCACCTTCACCCATCTCTTTTTCTTTCTCTCTTTCTCTCTCACTCTCTCTCTCTTTCTATCTTTCTCTTTGTTTATCTCTTTTTTCTTCCGTTCTCTTTCTCTTTCTCGTAGATCATAGTAAAGGTGCGAATAAGGTGAGAGGATAATCTGTGTTCGCCTACGAGTGTGAGGGAGGAAAGGGAGTGAAAGAGAAAGAGAAAGAGACAAAGAGGGAGAGAATGAGAATGAGAGAGGTAGAGAGAGTGGAAGAGAGGGAGGGAGAGAGGGACGAAGAAACGCGCAGCACTTTGAGGATCGGTCTGACCCATAAATCAGACTGAAATAATGCTGCTGGCTCTCTCGCTTCGCGTTCCGCGAACGAACGCTCGCGCGCGTGCTCTAACGCTCGCGAGCGACTAAGAGAGTGAAAGAAAAAGAAAGACAGGGAGAGAGAAGGGAAGAGAGAGAGAGAGAGAGAGAGAGAGAGAGAGAGAGAAAGAGAATGAGTGAGTGAGAGAGAAAGAGAGTCGAGGTGATAAAATAAATCTTCGATACTGGTGGATACTAATGGATACCTTGTATATAACTGCGGTGGTCTTGTTTTCTCTTCTGTTGTAGATGTGGGTGGCGGTGAGCGGGAGCTCTGAACCTCCTGCACCTTGACACATACACAATGCACACAAGAACAATATCAACAATATCAACAAGAACAATATCGACAACAACTATAACTACAATATCAACATCAACAACAAGAACAACAAAATTACAACCACGCACTCTTCTTTGATCACCCGCACTCTTTCCGGGCACGATGAAAGCGCAAGCAACTTTTTACCGCCCCCACGACATATCCAGCATGTGCTATATCTTATTCTTCTATTTTGATATACCTTTATCTTTATCTTCTTTATTTCCTTTACAATATTTTCTTTCTTTTTCCTTCTTGCATTCCTATATTAAGCTTTCGTATCGTTATTTTATTCGTCAATTTATTATCGAGTCGTCTACGTATCTTTTCATTTATTTTTCTTTTCTTTCTTCCTTCTTTTCTTCCTTTATTATTCCCCTTCTTCCATTTTCCTTCCTTTCGTTTATATCTACTAACACGGCGCGAACATTCGATCGGTACGATCGATAACGTTAGGAAGAGAAAGAAAGTAATTTGAGGAAGCAAAAAATGTTTCCTTCGGGAATACTTTCTTCATCTTCCGATTTCGACGATCTCTGTTCCAGGAGCATACACTCTGTTCCCTACAAGGGCTCCAACGGCTACTTAAATGGCTGTTCAAATGGCTATTCTAGGTACTAGAAGCCATCCGGCCAACTCTGCTATATATACGTAACAAATTAAGCATCCTTAAAATTCGCCCCCACTTTTTTGTTTTTTTTCTTTTTCTTTTTTTCTCTCTAATGCGTAAGAGACACACCAAGACCTCCTAACAAGACATACCAATTGCAATTTCTTTTAAAAACATCATATCATTCTTGTTAATCGTCAAACCCGTTTTAAGTAAATTATTTCCGAACAAAAATTGTTTCCCCTCCTCTTGTTTTTTTTCTTTCTTTCTTTTTTTCTCTTTCTCTCTCCCTCTTTTTCTCTATTTCTTTTTTCTTTTTATCTTGACGCACCGTCTATGCATCGTTCTTCCTTGTTCCTCAGCTCCATCCATCCCGCGCTTCTTTGATCGTTCTCGTTTCTTTCTCTCTCGTGTTTCCCTTTCATTTCTTGAGCTTAGACATCCAGACCTAGGCACATCATCAAAAGAAGCTTTCGATGCCACCAATAAACCAGACGACAAACCAGACTTTCCTCTGACACTCGACGAACACAACCTTTAGTGAAAAAAGTCGTCGATCGAATACGGCCTTTTTAATCTGTCCATCAACGGGTGTCCTCGTCGAGAAAAAGAAGAAATCGATATCGAACAAGATCGATATGCCTTCGCTGGTCGTCGGGCCGCTGTTCGAAAGATGAATTCATTAGCGGGCCGGCCATTTGTCAAAGACAAAGCCGACCCAGCCGGTGAATAGGTTTTAACGACGAGATGAAATCATTGGGAGAAGGAGAGAGAGAGAGAGAGAGAGAGAGAGAGAGAGAGAGAGAGAGAGAGAAAGAGAAGGGAGGGTACAGCGACACGATGGAAAGGACTACCTTCCAACGCTAATAACAATCCAACTTTAAAGATGTCTATCCTTCGAAACGTACAATTATGGCGCGAGGAAGCGTGCATTCATGAAGGATCTCGAATCGAGCTCGTGCTGCTCCTCCGGGCTAACATTTCTAAATTGGACTACGTAATAACCCAGAGAAAGAAAGAGAAAAAGTGAGAGAGAGAGAGAATAAGAGAGAGAATAAGAGAGAGCAAGCTGCTGTTGGGTAAGGAGGATGAGGAGTAGGAGGATGCAGCACCCTGGACGTACCTACTACTTGGTCTTTTCTCTGTTGGCTACTGTGAACCACGCCCAGGCTTCGGGCGACGTGAACCACGTCGTCGTCCAACTTGGAAATATCTGCCACCGTAGTTCAAACTACGAAATAATCATCTCATATAACTCTTTGAGAGGAATAAAGGGAACATTATCTTTGACAAACGAAATCGTTCGGGAACTCGAGCAACGTTGTAGGCCGGTATGTAAACGTACCTACACACTTGATGACCTTGGGGACGTAAAACGAGGCGGGTCCACACGTCGCTCATGCAAAAATACCAGTCAGCTGGGATCAGCTTCCAGTGGGTGAACCGTTCGCGGAGTTGTCACCTTCGATTTCGTCTCCGGAAGACGGGCTCGTTCGATCGGAAACATGGCATCGAACCGATCCCTGTCGACGATTTTCTTTTCGTTTCGATCAACTCTCTATCTTCGCAGACTTTACCACCATAGATGCCATCGTGGATCCGTTGTTTTTTTTCTTCTTTTTATCCTTTTTATTTTTTTCTTTCTTTCTCTTTTCCTTTCTTTCTTTTTCTTTCTCACATTACTCTAACATCTTATAGTCATGTCTTTCGCGAGAAGGAACGCCCACGATAGCACGAGCTGTTCATTCCGAAGACGAGATCGTAGAGCTCAAGTAGAGTGAAAGAGAGATCGTAGATTGTTAACTTATATACGAAGGGAGAGAGAGAGAGAGAGAGAGAGAGAGAGAGAGAGAGAGAGAGAGAGAGAGAGAGAGAGAGAGAGAGATCGTAGTAAGATATTTTTATATTCGATCGTATATTCGATAGTATTAGATACTTTTTTCCTCTTTTTTCTTTTTTTTTTAATTTTTCATTCCTTTCTTCTTCCTTTTACAACAACGAATTTTCTTTTTTAGACGAATATATTTTTTTTTTGCGAAACTTTTCTAATTGTCTACGCACTCATACATACATACGCACGCACGCACGCAGACACACATACACACACGCACATTGTAAAAGAATAACACTTTCTCGTACTTTCTCAAGAATACACACTCGTGCGTTAGAAAAAGAGAAAGAGAGAGAAAGAAAAAAAGAAAGAGAAAGAGAGAGAGAGAGAGAGAGAGAGACTCGCGAAAAGAAAAAAAACCAGCTGAGGCATCTCGAGGATTATCGAGAGTGGCCGATCAGACGGTCAGAGGGGCAAAATATTGCGATTCATCGGAAAGGGAAACGTTAAAAAAATAAAATGAAATAAAAGAAAAGAAAAGAAGGAAGAAAAAATGAAAAGGGAAAAAAAGTATTCGGAAGAAATAAAAAATTATTTTATAAAAGAGTCTTCTCTCGTCCCTTATCTTTTTTTCTTTCCCGTATCGCTCGTTGAGAAAAAAAAAAAAGATAAATAACAACGCGTTGTCGCACTTTGTACATAGCTTTGTGTATCTCTTCTTTCGCTCTGATATCCTTATAATAACGAATCGTAGACGATTGCGATTATCTCTCCCGAACGTATTATTAATATTAATAATTAATAGTTTTAGAAAATGTTTTACGAAGAGTAGACCTTAGTCATGTAATTGTCGTTGTCATATCGTCTCTTAGATATCACAGAACGACACGTAGGATCGTTATCACGTTGTACCTAGCTATAGGAGTGATAATAATGTTATTTTTTTTTAATTAATTATATATTATTATTAATATTATTATTATTATTATATTATATTATATTATATTATATTATATATTATATTATATATTATATTATATTATATATTATTATATTATATTATTATTATTATTATTATTATTATTATTATTATTATTATTATTATTATTATTATTATTATTCTAATAATTAATGTATATCTACACTTACGCCTTTGTCGCTAGCTTTGCACGTAAAAGTAAACGGTGCACGATCAGCCCGGTGAGAGGATGTTCTTCTGTATCTTATTCTTTCGAAGAGAGAGATAAGACGAGACGTGTGCGTGACACCTATTCGTGTGCTTATTCGGGAATCGCAATGTACTTTTAGGTGGGGAAGACCCACCCTACCGGCCTACCAATAAATTCGCCAAGTCGTAAAACGCTATCTCGTTCTTTCTTCATCCCGACACCTTTCGCACGTTTTCTCCAAATCTTCTTCTTCTTATTCTTCTCTCTTTCACTCTATCTCTCTCCTCTCTTTCCCTCTTTCTTTCTCTGAATGTAGATAGAGAATCCTTCCCTTACGGTCATCCGTGCTCGCCCAGCGACCGGCTTTATTGAAAGTCCCCGTCGTGATCTCGATAAGAGTCTCTTTCCTTAACGTAATTCTTCGTTCCTACAAAATCACTTTGTAAATTCCGTTCTATACCTAGCCAATGTTATTCTTCGTTTCTTTTATTTTATTTCTTTATTTTTATTTTTATTTTTTAAGAATAATTCTATGAACTTTGAAAAAAAAGAAATGCAAGAAAAAAAGAAAGATAAGGAATATTATTATGTATGTATGTGTATATACATAAACATTAGTTTATATATATATATATCGCAATAAAGTAAAGATGTGTATATATATATATATGTATATATATCGAGTTCAGAGTAGCGATGATCACAGATGAGATCGTCGGTACCTCGACGAAAGAGATGAAGAAGGGCAGCCATAATCGGGACAGGTCTCCCGCAGGCGTGAAATATCCAACCGTTTGTACGAAATTATCGTTCCTGTCACAACATCCTCGAGAGAAGGAGAGGGCTTATGTACCTCGTCTCTCAATTATGTTCGCGCGATGATTATCGCCACGCGTTTCTCTTCCTTCTGGCTTCTGAGCTTATATTTTTTATTGCTGTCAATTCTCATTGGTTTACTAATGACTTGACTATAATTAGGGACACCATTGGACAAAGAGAAAGAAGGAAAAAAAATTAAGAAGAAAAAGAAGAGAGGAAGAAGATGTGCATCCATTGTCAGTCTTTTACATACATAGTTCATTCGTTCGTTCGTTCGTTCGTTCATTCGTTAATGCATAAAAGTTACTGCTAAGATATTGCGAAAGATTGTTAAAAGGCTTAGGTAGATACTATATAGGTAGGTACACGTTGGTAGGCGCGTACTGCACCATCGGAGATGCATCCTGTTCGGTACGACTGGAAGCTGCTCTCACCTCCTGGGGCAAAAGTCGTGAGCTGAATGTCACGGTGATTGAATACGACCCGGTGATGCGCTTCCCGGGATTGGTTGTGCCCCGTCGACTTTCGACGTCTTCTTCCTTTACGCTCGACGCGAATCGAACTAACAAATACACTTAAATTTTCTTATAATACCTGCTTATGCCAATTCGAGATCTCTCTCTCTCTCTCTCTCTCTTTCTCTTTCTCTCTCTCTTTCTCTCTCTCTGTATTTCCTTTCTTTCTTTTTTTCTTTTTTATATCTTTTTATTTCTTCAAATCTTTTCATCATCGCAATCCAAAAACTGGGACGTTCATGTTATTCCATTTTCAAGGATCGACGATAGACGAAAGATCGTATTTTTAATAGAGAATCGTAAAATGAAAAAAGAATGAAAGAAGGAAAAAAGAAATAGACAAACAACGAGTTTTTATGGGGAAACCATTTCATCATTATAGCCAAGAACGATCGAGTGGGCGAACGCGAAGAAGCCAACGACGATGGTAGCGGGCAGAAGCTTCCCATGAGAAACTCTCACCTCCGCGGGCGGAAAGTGAACTTCGCGGTCGACGTAGGAGAGCCTCGGTATTGCCGTGGTAGTAGCCTGGCACAACTCTTCTACTCGTTGGATATGGTAGCGATTCTTTTTACGGGTGAAAGGTCGACGAAAAACGTCCGACAATCGCTACCATAATGGCTTCAATGCCACGGCATTCGCTTTCACTTCTACTTACTTAGTTACTCGTGGAAAACATCAATATATTTATTACATTTAATTTGTTCTCGATCAGTTCATTCAATGATCGAATCTTTACTCTTCGATCGTTATTCCTTCTTTCAAAAAAAAAAAGATCCTGAAGCTCATACTGAAGACATTTATTGCTGTTATCTTTTTCTTCTTCTTTTTTCCTTCTTCTATCTTCGTGGATATCATTGATTCCTTGTTCTTTTCTTTTTTTCTTTTTTAATTATCCACGAGCCACTGTGTAACCCGTTGATATAGGTTTAGGTACGCGCATGCATTCTATGTGATTCACACAAAGTTCTTCCTTCCTTTAATCTCACGCGATGTAACTTTACCTAAGTCTATTAAATAAATAAGCATTAAACCCTGGAGGCTTAAAAACTGTTCGTTGTAAGTGTGCAATAGCGTAATAAGCGCAAATGCATATCCATGGATAAGTTATTATAAAATGTTCTGGTGTTGGTTGCTCAGACTACTTCGGCTAAAGGAAAAGAAAAAAGAAAAAGAAAAAGAAAAAGAAGAAGAAAAGAAAAAAAGAAAAGGAAAGGGAAAAAAGGAAAGAACAGAAAAAATACTCGAATGTGAGAAGATAGAAACGGCAAAGGAGCTCTAGCAAGGTGTGGATGCGAATGTTATTGGAGATAGATAGTACCAAAAGGTGAGAGTCTTAAAGGTTACTGCCGCTGGATCACCGTTACATGATAACGGCCAAAAGCACGAAAGACGTTAAGCCGATTTCCAATGTCTCTCTTTCTCTCTCTCTCTATCTCTCTCTCTTTCTCTCTCTCTCTATCTCTCTCTCTTTCTCTCTCTCTCTCTCTCTCTATATATATATATATATATCTATATATATATATATATATATATATATATATATATATCTATATATATATATATATATATCTTTCACTGGGAACTCAAAAAAAAAGAAATACGTTTCCTCAAATCTGAAATTCCAAGAGAATGAGAATGTGTGCGTCTGGCTTTCTAATAATTACATTCAAACGTATTCACGAGAGTGGAAGTTACGTAAAAACGAAGGATAAATGTGAAGAAAAAAAAAAAAAAAGAACGAATTCGAAAAATCATTCAAAGAGACTTTTATCTCTATGAGAATAATTCTCTTTGGATTACAACATATCGTATCGTTGTTTCCGTATTGCAATATTATCGTTTTCATAGAGAATCAAAGTGCCATTTATAGGCGGCAATGACCATACTATAATATTATATCGCGACAAGCAAGAGAAGTCGAACTGGCAGAGCGCAAACGATTCACAAAAGAAGTGAAAGCGTCCCGATGAGATCGTTTGCGTAAGGTGGGGTCAAGGCAAATTGAAGAAGGAAGAAAAGTTACAAGGAAATGTGCTTTTGTCAAGCAATTAAAAGGTAAAGGAAAGAACGTGTTTAGAGACTAACGAATATCTAAGAGGCTTTCATCTCTCGAGCAATTCAGATGCCTCGTAGCAGTTGTAGTAGTACTTACTAATAGTATTAGTAATAGTAATAGTATAGATATCTAGTAGTAGTTGTTAACAGCATATGTTGGAACATTTAACGGAACATCGATGATCTTTTCAAACTCTTCCTCTTCTTCGTGAGATCAACGACAACGTTTCTGTGTGATTCGAAAATAAACGTGGGACGTATCTCTTATGGTTAGCGTTTATGATATTCTCTCTCTTTCTCTCTCTTTCTCACGATTAGATATATACATACGTATATATCGATAAGTGTGTCGATAGAGGATATACAAATTCATCAATCGATAGAATTATATGACGGAATGTTTGAGAAACGAATAGAACGATTTGTAAAAGGAGAGAAAGATAGAAGGAGAGGGAAAGAGAGAGGGAGGAGAGAGAGAGAAAGAGAGAGAGAGAGAGGGAGTGAGAGAAAGGGAAAGAAAGAGAGAGAGAAAGAGAGAGAGAAGGTGGGTGTGGGTGCGAATATCGTGGTAGTACCAGAAGGTAAAGTACGTAAAGGTTACTACCGCATCATCGGCACGTCAAACTACCAGCGAGATTAGTCTCCCTTGGGCGAGCACGAGGTGTGCTTTGCGCTCTTCGTTTCTCTCTCTCTCTCTCTCTCTCTCTCTCTCTCTCTCTCTCTCTCTTTTACTCGTTCCATGCTTCTTGTACGCGCCGTAGACATAGGCATCGGCATAGGCATATCGCGAGGTAGTAAC